CAGAGATAGAGATCAGGAGAAAATAAAAGGGGTGTGCAGTGGAAGGAAGAGGGGAGGAAAGAGAGGATGGGTGAGAAGAGCTGGGAGGGGGGGCAGAGACCTACTGCACCTTGACACTTGCTCTCACCACAGCACCTGATAAGTGCAATGGAAAAACGTCTGGTTTCCTCCTGCATGTTAAGTGGTTTATATTCTCCTCCTCTCCATGCAGCCTGTAGCTACAGTTTGCTACTGTACTGATGCTACACCCAGGTAATAACAGACAAAAGGAAATGGCAGAAAACCAGAGAGTGAGGCAGAAAATAGCACATACAGTATTGTCTTCTTCGCATTGTGTTTTTTGATAAATACTAATCTACACACGAGATGTAAACTTGAAGTTACTAGACAGCCAAACAGTTAGGCAATTTAGAAATGTTCTCTCCCTTACATTGTTTATCATTTTTCCATGGCCCTCTTCATTCTATAAACAACTTCTGCATAGAGATTTAGATGGAGTTTAATTTGCACAACAGAGGTTCAGATAAAAGTGGATATATATCTTTACTACCTCATGCATGTTCTTGACAAGGAACTCATTCCCATGATTTGTAAGTCAGTCTCTCCACAGAACAGCATTAACAATATTCACTTTAGATAACGTATGATTCCAGGCCCTGGGAGAGGATGGGTTTCTTAGAAATGCTTTGTTAGCACTCTCTCCCCCTTGATAAATGATTTAGGACATGTGGCCTGAGACATCAATACAATCTCTGTTGTAATTAAAAAAGGTGCGCACCAACAATATTACACAGCTTTCGCTTTGTCTGTCTCTCCCTCACTCTCCCTCACTCACCCACTCTTCCTCTTGTTCAGCCCTGGAGCAGTGAAGAGATAATTCAAAAAGCACTTGCATGGAGTGAAACATGAAAAAGGGAGACATATGAAATTAAATTCTTTTTTTTTTTTTTGCTCTATTGTTCTTTCATTTTCTCTCCTTTGTTACATAAATGCATAAAGGCAAAGGAAGCTAGATTCTAATTATGATTTTCACAATACTAAAAGATTTCTTTTTTTTTAATGAAAAAGGTTTCACAAACAGAGTAAGCTTACTGTTCCAGCACTTTGTCAAAGTCAAAGTACTGCAAGTGCTGGATCACTAAACCTCAATAAACTTTATCTTGTACTTTTTCCAAATGTCCTCAGTTATATAATAAAATAATTGAAATTGGACTTTGATGTTCTAATACAGCTGTTTTACAACAAAAGATGTAGCAAACAGAGAAAATCTCAAAAATATTTTAATATTTCACATTTAACTGACTTTCACTTTTCCCTTTTTTTCAACATAAAACAAGTCAGAAGCAGAAGAATTATATCTAGAAACCCACCACAAACCCCTTTTTTTTCTCTGTGAACCCAAATACAGTAGGAGGCAGTTGGTTGGCCTTTCGGCTGCGACAACATGCTTCTGTGAGAAGCTATCTAGCAGATACCACACAAACCACCGAGTCATTTGGGTGCGTGATTGGGAGCTTTGTGGAGGCCAGTGCTGATTTGGGAATGGGGAAGTGAGCAGGTCTATCACAGTGAGTGTGGGAAGAGCCCATAGGGTGAGCGGTAGTGGTGATGAATGGTGAAATGTGGAGTTAAAGAATAAGAAAGATGTGAAGGTACGTGAAGGTAGTTTAGATGGAGATAGTACAGATATTGGTTATTATCTTTATCAGTTGTTCCTATGTGTAGTTTTTATCACAGGAAGTCGCAGCTACAAGATGTATGAGGTATGTCAAAGTCTGCATTGCTCCAGTCTAGTGTTTTGACTGTCTTGCCTTGCAAATGGGGGAAGGGCTTCTTTTGTGGCTTTCACCGGATGGTTAAGGGTTAAATATGGCAGAGGGTATGCTGGTAAATGTGGGTATGAATGAGAGTAAAGGGTGAGGGGGCATGGGTGACAGGGGTGAGAAGTCTTACCCCAGTAGAGGGCAGTCTCTTGCCGTCAGGGTTTGGGCGCATGGGCAAGGAACTGTAGAGCCTCACACCTCGATCTGCAGCACCGTATCTGCTCTGGAAGAGGAGACAGAGAGATTTTAAGTAACCTCAAACACTGCGCCATAATAAAACCTCAAAGAAAGGATTTGCATTTGTTAGACAAGTTATCTAAGTTTTATTTTCCCATCCAAATTCAGCAATCATACAGCATAGCCACCTACATTCTGTAGTTCTTTTTCTGTGTACCGGTGTTTACCAGTTTTATACATTTCAGTCACAAAGCCTGCACACTGGCTGCCATGTTGAGTCACATCAGCTCATAGTGATGTACCACACATAATAACTGGGTAAGGCTGGCTCACCGGCAGCACTAATGGAACTAAGTTGTTGTGTTTGGGAGCCAGCGTTACTGCCCTCCGCTCTACTCTACTGGTGCCATTTTTCTATACATTACACAGCTGATAATTAGAGTATAGCAGTTTTCTAAGCCTTCCAGCTCCTCCCCGTGCTTCCCCATGTGGGTTTCAGCTGTATGACACAACCTCAAGGAGTGGTGGCAAAGCCCTCAGTAGTCGGGAAGTTAATAATTCACAAGTTGTCCTTGGCAGCACATTTCAGTCGAGTTCACATCTTGTCCCACAGCCACAGCGGGGGGTACATCCCAGGTCTCGCTTCAAATCTCACTTTCTCTATCTCACTCCTTCTCTTTGTCTCTCTAAATGTCTCACTCTCAAAAATTTGCCTTACTTCACCTCTGTGACTCCTTGATATTGAGTCACTGAGTCTCTTCAGTAACGTGATCAGCAGCTTGCATGTTGTTGGTGTTGTGATTTGTACAACAGTGATAACCTACTGTAGTGTGTTATGTGTGTTCATTGATAAAACAATCTCCTTTTATTTCTGGTATTGGTAACTGATTTCTCATAACTAAAAAGATAAAACATTAATTTATGTTTAAAACTGGCTGTGGCTGCTGCCTGCGATGTATAGTGGTTGATGGCTTTGCTGCACTTGATCCACGCAGTCTGCTAATGAGGATGTGATATAGACTAATGAGGGAGAAAACTTGCACAGTGCACCAATTTATTATACTGTAAATACAACATTATCTTTCTCACACACTTATCAATTTGCTTTCTTTGCTCCCCTTCTTCTTTTTAACATTCATTGTCACTTCACCAAACATGCAAAGTAATTCACACTCCTACAAGCATGCAAAATACAGACATGTAATCTCACACACACACACACACACACACACACACACACACACACACACACACACACACACACACACAAATAGAGGGCAGGGATTTAGATTTCTGTGCAGTAAGACAACAAAACATCCCTGAATGAACTAAACTGGTGCCTCCTTTCATTATTAGTCACTCACATGGAACAGTCAAACATGCGTTCAATGTACACACGAGCATAGAAAGCCTCAGCTTTTACAGTGAAACTACAATAAACACATACTGTATGTGCAGATTGAGTTTTTGAGTCTAAATGCATAGTGACTGCAATGAAGTGAAACCCACAAGACATATATAGTATGTATATATAAAAGCTTATGTAACATAGCATGTATGAAAGTTATTCAGGAAATTTTGGGTTCAAAAAGCATTATTTATACACTGTGAGTAGTGTTCTATGCAGAGAAGTATATGCATTAACAGTATGCTGATCTAATAGGCCTATCACTGATCACAGTCCAGGCAATCCCCCGAGGCAGAGTGAGAGTGTTTAAGATTTTGATTTCCTGTGTTCATTATGAAAGGTGAAAACAGATGAGTAGACAGCAGAGGCCATCTTGTCGATAGGGTTTGCATAATGATGACACAGCATTATTAAAAAGAAGGCTTATTTACAACTTTCCTCATTGCTGCACCTCCTTGAAAACCAGCACTTTAAAAAGTACTCATACTTTCCCCATATTCAAAATTGACATACAGTAGATTTTATTATTGTGATTTACAATAATTACATGTATTCTTTACAGTGATTAGTTATTTGATGTGAAACATGACTCTAAGCCAAAATCAGCAACAACCCAGTAGGTTGTGTCTTGTACACTGTCTAGTCAGAACTCTTTTTCTTTCTACTTTTCAGAGGAGCTACTGTACACTAACTGCATCTCTCAATGGAGACTTTTTCTGTCGTGGCTTGTTAGGTAGCTTGCCAGCATTGCCACCAAATAAATGCCTTACAGAATAGCTGCTTTGGCCGGCGAAGGAGCCACAGTAAGTGAATGTTTGATATTTCTCCAGTGTGCCAAGCTAATCTGGCCCTGTGGCATGCCATTACGGGGCTAATAACAGCTGTCTGCAGCCTGGAGGGGACACAAGCAGGTCTGGCTGCACTAACTGGCCCTGACAGACTCATTAGGATTGCTGGCACCCAGAACAGCAACAGCCAAACTCTTCACATTTCCTTGCTGGTTCACAACATTTTGCAAGTGCAAGAAGCATTGTTCTCTACACCTGTTGTCTGACACTTTTGTTTTCTAGCCCTCACTTCAGACGCTCTT